AGTCCCAGCTCACTATGAGTCAGGTTTCCAAGTTGAAATTTGGGTGTTAAATAACTTGTTATTGTGTGTTTGTTACGCCTTTGCCTTTTAGTATTCCCCTAGTCTGGCTCATACTCAACCTACTTCCTGAGCCCTGTGGCTACTTTTTCTTTTTAAATCTCTCATCATTAAAATAGTTTTGCACAAAGTTCAGTATAGTTTGTCTCTGTTTTGTCTTGCACAAACAAGCTTTTTACAAAAATACCAGCTTGCTTTCACCTCCACAACACACACTAAAGTTTCTGTGCTTTATTAGAAAATCCACTGTGTTATTTAGAACAAAATGGTCTCTTTTCCACATGATCTGGGATTGGTCTTGAACCCGCTTTTATATTTGCACTTATCTTTAAGCTCACTTTTTGAGAGGATCCTTAAATCTGCACTTTGAAGTGGGCTGGTGTGTGATGTGTGCACTCATAAGGAGAGTGGAGCCAGTCTGGCCAGAATATTTTCAGGCAAAAGCTTGGATCTCCCTCTTACTCCCACTCATTTCCTCCGTATGCTCGGCTTGGACCTGCTCCAGACACGTTTTAATTGTGCCACAACCACACAATCGAGCACTGTCTAGTGTAGTGCTATTTTTAGGTTTTAACTAAGACTAATAAAAGATCTAAAACACAGAACCCCAGACTCATGATTTGTCACTTTGACTGTGATAAATACAGTATTGTTTGTTAGTCTGTTCTTTGTTATGATTTATTTATCTTCTTACTAAAACCTAAGAAACTATACATGGCATAAACCAACAAATACTGTGTTATTATTTAAATGAGCAGAAATGACTCGGGACTGATGAACAGGTCAGGATTTCTGTGATTAGGTTATGTCCAGCTGTTCTGCCTTTTGTTGTGATGACTGTAAAGGGGCAGGTGGAAATTGGCAGCACAACCTTTCAACCAGCATTGTATGTTTTTTTATTACAGTATATTCTTTAAGATCATTATTGCAGACCAAAGATGGTACACTATTAGACAGCAGTAACCTAGACAGCATTTAGTGGTGATATGTGAGAATACAACAGGATCAGGTCTAATTACAAATAGTAGCATTAAAATGTCCAAATAATGATCAGGTTTAACATTTACGGATCATAAATTTTGATTTTTCTTGTAAAAACAGTGAATCTCCCACACAGTTATATATATAAGCCCCTGCCCTCCATCTAAAATAATGGCATTCAATTCTGCAAGATGATCACAACCTATTGCAGTCAGTTTTCATTCAATTCTTACACTATGGTCCCCGCCCCTTGAATCTGAAGTGCAAATTGTATCCCTAAGTTGTTATGCATAATCCTGGTTACCGACAGAGGTATTATATCATGTTTTGTCTGCGTTATAAGAAATATGTACGCAGACCAAGCACAGGGCAAATCCAATGAGTTCAGGGGGTTTTGCATTCATTGTTTTTTCTGCTTTGTTTGCATCTCTA